GTTCATTAGAAAATTCTTGTTGGTCACTTGCTGATTTCTTCTTGTCACCTAATTGGTGACATTTCTGCTACTTAGTATTTACATATTGCTTCACTCTTAACTCAGTAATGCTGGGTCAAGACTAAAAAGTAAATAAAAATGATGCAAATGCCCTGTACTTTCTAGAACACTTGAGGAAAAAGGGCAAGGGAAGTAAGGAAAAAAGAAGAACAGAGAGAAAGAGGAGAAAGAAAGAGAGAAAGGGAGGCTCGAAGAGAAAAGAGGGAGGGAGGAAGAGAGAAAACAGGATATTTAATGACTAATGATCGTTATTTAATGATATTATTTGATGATTCTTATTTAACAAATATTTAATGATTATTAAATGTCCTGAATATTTCTAGTCATTTAAAACATTTTAACTCAAGATATTGCTGGTTTTCTCCAGCAAATGTTTTTATTTTAGGGATGCAGATTTAATTACCCAACATGACTTTTTTGAGGCATGTCCTGAAGAGCCGTGCTGACTGTAGTGTTGAAAGTTATAAAACAACACATAATTTTGTCTAACACGTTATGTATCATTTTAAACAATGATACATCCTACATTTTCACCATTTCTCTTTTCAAGTAGCTGGAACATGTTGCTAATTTGATAAGCAAGCCCTAGAGGGGCAGATTTGTTGTTTTTAATTAATTTAATCCAGATCTCCATCTAGATTCTTGTCCTTTATTCACTAGTCTTACTTGATGAGCTCTGCTCACTGTAGAGACTATCCATGGAGTCACTGGCTTTGAGGGAGACCTTCTCTGTGTGGGTCCCGATCACAGGGTCACTGTTCCGATGTGGGAGGGCATCTGCCCCATCTTCCTCATCCTTCAGAAAAATATATCAGACGTTAAGTGCAAAGAGCAGATTTCCATGGAGACGTTTACTGTGTGCATCGACTTAACAAACAAGACATATTTTAGCAATAAAATATTTAGGAATACATCAGCATAAAATATGAAGGTCATTAATCTTTAGTTCAAGTTCTCACAAAACACAATATATGTGGAAAAATTCCTTAGATGAGACATTACTCACTGTGGAATTCGACTGAAATTATAATGATTTGTTTTTGCAAATTAGGATGAATGACATATCAAGACTATTTAATCA